CATCATCCTTGTTACCCTTCTCTGATCTTGGGCCAGTCCCTTGATCATCATCCTTGTTACCCTTCTCTGATCTTGTCTCCAGTTTGCCAGCATCCTTCTTAGAGGGTGGTGTCCAGAACTCCACACAATATTCTAGAAAAGGTCTAACCAGCGCCTTTGGAGGCTCACTAGACTGTGGTTGCTTATTCTAGAAAAGGTCTAACAAGCACCTTTGGAGGCTCACTAGACTGTGGTTGCTGACTCTAAACCAACTCAATTTTCCTTTCAGAGTTTGTACATTTAATTCTCGCGCGTGGAACTAGACCAGGAAACGAACCTCCCCCCTCCAGCCTTTTGAACTGAAATCAAAGACACCATGTGTGGAACTAGACCAGGAAACAACACACACACACACACAGCCTTTTGAACTGAAATCAAAGACACCATTGGAAACAACGCTCCGCCTCAGAAAGTCTCGTGGAATTCTCTCTGCCATTTAAAAGAAGAACCATATCCACTGTGAACCAACATGACATTTTTATGAGGATATGAAATGTGTCCCTTTATGTTAACAGATCGTTGAGACAGAAATAGAATTAGCCAGCCTGGACAAGACCAAAGGACCTCCGTCCTACCATGAGAGAAACTAAAAGCTGACTTTTCCCCAAAATAACATTTCTAGGGTCGAGGAGTTGGTTTTTTGTTTGTTTGTTTGTTTGTTTTTTGCTCTTTATAGTGTGCCAAGACAAGTCAGGTGTATAGTGTGACTTAGGTGGCTGGGGTTATACCGCATTCTCTTAGCTCCACCAAACCTCACCGGATGGTTAAAAACGGGAATTGGTGACAATGAGATACATTTCTTTAATGAGGTTGACAGAAGATTGAACAGGTTCAGAGGAGGGCAAGCAAGATGATCAAGGGGCTGGAAATCAAGCCGTAGGAGGGAAGGCTGAAAGAATTGGGCATATTTAGCCTTGAGAAAAGAAGACTGAGGTGTGATATGATCACACTTTTCAAATACTTAAAAAGGTAGTCCCAACAAAGGAGGAGGAGGATCTGCTCTCGATCATCCCAGAGTGCAGGATCACACTTTTCAAATACTTAAAAAGGTGTCCTACAGAGGAGGGGAAGGATCTGCTCTCGATCATCCCAGAGTGCAGGACATGCAACAATGGGCTCAAGTTAAAGGAAGCCAAATTTTGGTTGAATATCAGGAAAACACTTCCTAACAGAGCAGTACGACAATGGAACCAGTGACCTCGGGACTTGGTGAGTGTTCCAACGCTGGAGGCATTTAAGGGAAAATTAGACCATCCTCTTTCAGATCTGCTTTGATTTGGATTCTTACATTGAGCGGGGGGGGGTTGGACTCGATGGCCTTAGAGTCCCCTTCCAACTCCATAATTCTAGGATTCTGTGATATGATTCTATGACAGGTTCTTTTATACTGTATCTCTGTGATTTGAGGGGAAGGGAGTTAAAAAAAAAGCTGCCTTTCTAATTTGAATTCAGTGGCAGGTTTGGTGCAAATAGCCTTGCCTGGGAGCTCAAAGGCCTGCCTGGGAAACAATGAGAATCCAAGAGCTGCCTGGATCGATGCGAATCGTTAAGAGGATGCTGAACTGACAGCCTGCTTATTCAAAGTGGACCAGTGGGACCTGCAAGAGGCAAGATCGGAAAGCCGGAGAAGTAGGAACAGGCTGAGTGGGTGCATAGGGGAATGTGCGCATCAAGGAATCGCCCACGTTACCATCCTGGCTTGGGAGAATCCAGGGGAGATGTCGGAAGGGTCAGCAAAAGAGAGGGAAGAGTGATTTCCGAGGGCGTAGGAAAGTTCCTTAAAAGGATGCAGGAAGAAAGAGCCACCACCCTTCTCTTGGACACTCACAGTTCGGAGGAAATCAAAATGGTGTGTGTATGTGTTTAAGAGGAATCCTTTCAGGGAAACCACCCACCCCCCCAAAGCTTAGCTCTACACATCTTCTATTACACTTTCCAGGCATCGCTTGCCTGCCCTCTGTTTATAAAAGTTCGCTTCTCTCCTTTCAAGTAATGCTGACTGCTCTCCCATCTTGGGTTTGTGATTTTCCGTACGGATCCCCGGGTGGCTTCTTTTCATAAATTCATGCAATACTCTGAATTCACTGCTGAGGAAGGGCGGTAAGGAGAAAAAAAACTTGTCAGATAAATAGAGATGATCTTCCTGACTTCGATGCTGCGGCATCGCTCCTGTTGGAGTTTTTTGCAACCTCGCATGCTGTCTTTAGTAGGTTTGGCTGGCAAGGGTTTGTTTGGGTTGGGGTGACTGTCAATCACTAACAGCACTAACCAATTGTTCCTTCCCTACCTCTGAATACAAAGAGAGACCCGCCTATCTGCTAAGAGCCCTTTTCTCTCTCTAATGTCTGCTGGCAATTAACAATCTGTTGGAAACAGGCAATCTGTTGTGGTCTGTTGTTGAGGTCAGGCACGTTGGTTCGGTTTGCTCTCTAGGTCTGTTCAACTGTAAGTAAATGAAAGTTTTTATTCTTTCCCCCAATGATGTCTCAGAGCTAGTTATTGAGACTGTAAGCACCAGCTGATGAGAAAATGGGATGCACTAAACTGAGGAACTTGAAGTTTATTCTGCTCTATGAATCCCCTGTACTTCTGTTGCACAGCTAGGAGGATTTGGTAGGGCCCAACAAAATTCAAAACTCTGCAACAGCTCCCACTGTTCATTCAACCCTTGGAATGTGGGTGAACGAACAGTGGGAGCTGTGGCAGAATTTTGCATTTTGGTCACATTTCCCTAGGCAACATATGAGGTTGCAAAAAAACAAAAGTCCAACATACATTTGCTAATACATTTGGATCTTCCGCTGCATTTCTTGGGATGAGTTTTCAACTGAAAACCAACTTTGTTTTCTTAGCATTTATTTCCACACCTTGTGTCATCGCATGTTTCAGCACCAGCCCCTGCGAAAGAAAAAGAAGAATAATTGCAAACTTCTGAGTCATTTTTCTTTTCAAGATGCCCCAGCGAGCCCCTAAGCACAGACTCAAGAGGACACAAGGAGAAGACATGTCTGCGCTCAAGAGGATTATTTTAATTATATATTCAATGTTGATATCTAGATCAAGGTAATCGCCAGGGAATTTGTGGTGCATTTGAGTCAGACATTTTCATCCAGTGCGCTCACCGCACAGTACATGCACACATACAAGCAGGTACACACGCACGCGCGCACACAGAGAGAGAGAGAGAGAGAGCACATCTACAACCAAATCCTGGCTTAGAGGGAGTGCAAAAAAGCCATTAAAATATAAACAGCCGCTAACTGCGTACAATAAGAATGAGCTGATCTGACAATAAGTGTGTGAGGACCGATGGTGTTTCTTCTGTCTAAAAATACTTCAGCGAGATAAAACCAGCGGAAAAGAGGCAAGAATGGATAGGAGGGGAGGGGAGCCCCAGAAAACCTGCTCAGGAAGAGAGTGAAGCTCCCTAACGTGAAACATGGGAAAGGCTGTGCTTCGCTCAGGGGCCTCTGGATTCAATTAGTCTCATGAGCGGTCCATGTGCGCCTGGTTTTTTGGCTCTAAAGCATCTCCAGAGCGTAATGCCATTTTCGTCGGCTGCTTCCCTCCCTTCGGTGTGTCTTCTGCCTGATCCCTCTCTGAGCCGGGTCGTCTGGGGGGGGTCCCTCGTGACCTGTACAAATTGACCCCTGTGGCATGCAAGCCGAAGGTCAACATTTGGAGGGGGGGAACTCATGGATTGACCACCACTAGGAGATGAGGGGAGGCTGCTATTGAATTCTGATCATCATCCTTCCTCACTAATCTAACAAGGGAAGTTGCTGGATGGAAGGGCGCAACCAGTTGCTTCCAGGAGAGAAAGGGAATATTGGTTATGTGACTCTCCCACTGTTCTAATACAGTTGGGCCCTCATAGCCACTGGAGATGGATACTGAAAACCACGGATAATAGAGATCTATCTATCTATCTATCTATCTATCTATCTATCTATCTATCTATCTATCTATCTATCTATCTATCTATCTATCTATCTATCTATCTATCTATCTATCTATCTATCTATCTATCTATCCCTTCCTTCCTTCCTTCCTTCCTTCCTTCCTTCCTTCCTTCCTTTTTGAAAGCCTAAATGTGATCTTTCATCATCTGGAGCAATCCATCCCTTTTTCTTGGTTGGGGTCCATGACTGAGTGGCTGCTCACCCCCATGGGCCAATATTGCTAGCTACTCCCCTGGTAATACCCTATGAAGAAGCTGGTGGTGTTTACAATATTTGGTGTCAAGCAAACTTCTTGTGTTCCTAGAGACTTGGCTACAAGCTTAGAGAGAAGGATGCAGGCTTATAAGGACGTTGTCCATCGAGATGGAAGCTGCGCCGGGCCCACAAAACCACAATTCCCATGATCTCTTTGGGTAGAAAAACCAACTGTTTAAAGCAGATTAAATCGGCAACATCGATGTACCCTCTGTTTCCTGAGTCTCTCTGGAAATTATCCCCAGCCAAAGGCTCCATTGTCAAGTCTTAGCAACGGAAAAAGCTTTTCTCTCCACCCCTGGGAGGCCCAAGAAAAGAGCTGAGAAACTGCCACGTCCTCATTAGTGCCTCATTAACACTCCCTGCTGCTCAGCACACTCTGTGGGGATACATCCTGCTGCGGAAAAGGCCAGAGGATTGATAAGGAAAATTGATGCTGAGAGGAAGTGAGGAAGACCTGTAAAATTGCAGCCTGGGAGCATCGAGCATTAACGGGATGCTGAGTGCAAACCGTTGCCGGACAGAAACTTCTCGGTTTCTCGCGTGCTTTGGCGTGAGATCACATTTCCCAGCTTAATGGGGGAAGCCAACCCCACGTTGCTGCCTGAGGCCCAAGGAAGAATGGGGACCCCACACTATCCAGCGTCTTTGCATTGGAAGGTGGGACTCAGCGTGTAGGCCGTCTTGGCCACCCTTGCTAAGAAAATCAGAGGGAGATTCATAGCCAGGATACGGCCAATCACTATGGACCTGATTTCCTTTGACTGGATGTTCCAGACCTATCCAAATGGACCCACACCAGTTGATCTGTATTTTGAGTTGCACCTGATGTAGGTAACGCTATGAGCATCAATTTGCATCTCACTTACAGTAACCCTGACACTGTTGTTGCAAAAATTAACAATTCAGACACCTGGTAGGCAAGTTCCAATTACCCACAATGTAGGAGCAATAGAGAACACCTACTAAGAAAGGACTCTTGGTGATTTCTTCTGCAGAATAAAGGAGTACAAGTGGGTTAATACACAAACAATGTGTCTCAGCATTTACAGATGTGTGCTAGCATTTATATCCTACTAGTCACATAGCGTTGACCTTATCTGCCTTCCTCATCGGGCTAGTATAGTTGACTTCTCCCTTGGCTGACTTCTCTTTAATGTACTCTCTTTATTATATCTAAGCTTCTCTCTCTTTGCTATCTCATATATAACCCTCCCGTGTCACTTGTTCTTATTTTTCTTATTTCTTTTAACAGCACTTTCCTTTCCTTAGGTTAGTAAGAAGATCAGGGCTCGATAGTTACAAGTTTCTTAGTATCTAATGTGGCAGGTTAATACAAATAATACCACTTATACTAGGCATAAATGTGATTGGAAAAAAAATTAACAGGATTTTCAGGGTATGTGAGATACTTTGACATCCACCAGTCCAGTGACCACCACACCACTGTCAGTTTCCATAGCTGAATCAGGATTTGAACCCAGGTCTCCTGAGACCTAGCCCACCATTCTACCCAAAACTCCACAATAGTTAGTGGCTCACATTATACAAAATGTCTTGGATCTCCTTTATGGCATGTTCATGTCCCTGCTTGCTTTTGAGAGGCTGTTAAAATAAATAATCTGATTTTGGGGGTAGCAGGATCATGGTTCCGACACAAGTGGCGACACAGAGATCTGCCAAGGGTGGCAGGTTTGCACAGAGAATGCAAGGGAGGCAAAATGGTCTTTGTAGCTCTGGATGCCTAAGCATCATCTTGATTTCCTACCCCATGAACTACAGCTATCAAGGATCAGCACCACGGAGAGCTCCTGATTGAGCACTAGTATCTGGATTGAAGTAGAGATTGAGCGTGCATTTATCCATTTGGAAATAATCCCTGTGTAGGGTATGATCAAATGGCTGCAAAGTCAGGTGCCTGATCATGCTGGCTTGACTCCCAGGAGGCACAGTGGGGAATCCAACTCTCGACCTCCATGTCAGTTATGACTTAGGGTGACTGCAGGGTTTTCTCAGCAGAAGGGACTCAGAAGTGGTTTCCCCTTCTCTCTTGCCAGGGGTGCCCTGGGACTGTGCAGCTTGCCCAAAGCCACACAGGCTGCCTCTTCTGGGAGGCACAGTGGGGAATTGAACTTCCAACCTCTGTGTCAATTATGATTTATGGCAACCCTTTCCAGGATTTTCCAGGTAGGGAGTACTTCGAAGTGCTTTTCCCTTCTCTTCCTCTGGGGGCGCCCTGGGACTGTGCAGCTGGCCCAAGGCTACCCAGGCTGGCTCTACTCCCAGGAGGCACCCAGGTGAACCAACCTCTGGCTCTGCAGCCAGATCCTTAAACCACTGAGCTACCCAGTCCAGCCCTAATGAGCCACATAAAGAGTTAAACGCAGTTGATCTAATGAACTCTCAGCAGAAGCAGGACATGGGGCACTCTGACCTGGTTTCAAGGCTGAGCTGTTGTCTTATTCACTCAAAACTGTTCTCTCGTTTTCTCTCCTCCTTCCCTACCTCTTGGACGTCCTCAGCAGTGAAGAAGACAAGTGAGGTCTTGGTGCCCAGCCTGAAATGAGAAGGAGTCATCTAGCCAGGGGGGAGGGTACCCTGACCTGAGAGTAGGACCCAGCTGCCATGCCTGCCAGCATAAAGCAAAATAGGATCGCTTCAGAGATTTTCCCCTCCAACTCGCAAGGCGAATTGGCACAAGGGAGCCCAGAGACCTGCTGACTCTGCAGGGGATCCTTGTATTCTCCACGCTATCCAGAAATAAAGGCAAAAGCCACCCCCCATTGTCCAGGAGTCCATGCCAACTTTGGGCCAAGAGCTGCCCACTGGGTTTCGATGCCTCAGAAGCTTTTGGCCGGAGGGTGTTTTCCTTTCATTACCTCTTCTGAAAGTTCCACCTGAGAGAGAGAAAAAAAGGGGAAAAACTGGGTTAGACTAATAGCTGAGGCAAGTCTATGTTTGATTTCGTTACTCTCTGCCCAAAAGATCTTGCATGACTCTTGAAACAACTTGGGAGCTGAAGGTTCTGATCCAAGATCATTCATCTTGGCCCAGCTGCCCGAAGGATTCGGAGCACCGCCCAAATATCCAGAATGCAGACAACACTCCCTAAATCACAATAATTAACGTTCCTACAAAATTAGCATCTAACGTCGCATGTATTCCAAATTTGTCTTCTGGTGTTTGATGGTTTCCGAATATCCTTTTAATCATTCCGCATTCAGCTGTGGATTGAAAGGGCTCTCTCGTTGGTTCATTTATAAGGTTTGATGAGAAGATCTTTAAGGAAGAGGGAATGTGTTTATAAGGAAGGGAGTAACAGGCTGCTTATCCTTGGTCTCCTCTGAAATGAACAGGTGGAGCATCCACCGCTAGGAGCTGTCTAGCTGGACACAGAGAGACTCCTCCCCAGAAGTTGAACAGCAGCTGAGGAACTAGTGCCCAGTTTCCAGATATCAGAGAATTGCCAGAGGTTGGGTGTTCAATTCCCCACTGTGGATCCCGGGAAAAAGAGCCAGCCTGGGTGGCCTTGGGGAAGAGGGAATGTGTTTATAAGGAAGGGAGTAACAGGCTGCTTATCCTTGGTCTCCTCTGAAATGAACAGGTGGAGCATCCACCGCTAGGAGCAGTCTAGCTGGACACAGAGAGACTCCTCCCCAGAAAGTTGAACAGCAGCTGAGGAAATAGTGCCCAGTTTCCAGATACCTGAGATTTGCCAGAGGTTGGGTGTTCGATTCCCCATTGTGTCTCCCAAGAAAAAGAGCCAGCCTGGGTACCCTTGGGCCAGCTGCGCAAATCCCAGGGAGATCCCGGAAGAAGGAAAGAGTTAACCACTTCTGAGTCTTCTCCACATGGAAAACCCTGGAAAATATTGACTTGATGGCATATTGTTATTAGCTAGCTGCATAGCTCAGTGGTTTAGGCCTCTGGCTGAAGCTGGAGTCTGCCAAGATGATGATGATGATGATATTCCTATAACCACAGAGCTGGAAGGGACCCTATGAATCATTGAGTCCGGCCCCTGTTAAGGAGGCACCGTGGGGGAATTGAACTCCCAAACTCTAGAGACGGAAACCACCAGGCTATTCGGCGGTTCTTTTCAATAGGGCAGAACTACAAGCTTGGCCTCGTCTGCATTTGAGCTCCGTGGTTATTGAAATTCAGTGCTTCCAGCATTGCGTGATTGTGCGAGAGACAGCAAGAGAGAAAGACCATAAGGAAGCACGGTGCATTTAATTTTTAATGTATCACCTATAGGTTTCCCAGTTAAAGTTGCAACAGCTCTGCTAAGCTAGCCAGGAGCCAATCTATGCCACTGTTCTCAATAATTAATTGTCATGCTGATGTTTTAGAATGCAGCCATACATATTATTTTAGCAACAACAACAAAAATTGGTGTGGGGCTTTCATTTGCTGTGTGCCTTCAAGTTGCATCCAATGTATGGTGAACGTGATGGGCTTTTAACATGCACGAGAAAATTTAAGGAGCTCTTTTCTCTTCGCCAGCCCCCCATGTGAGCTGCCATGGAAATGCGAGGATTTGAACCCAAGTCTTAGGAGTCCTCGTCCTGAGACTTGGGTTCAAAACCTTGCTCATCCATCGATGAGGGCTACTGTGCTTGGGCAGCTCCCTTTGAAGTCTTGTTTATTCCACTGATGGGTTAAAGAGGGCTAGTGTGGCCTAGTGGTTGCAGCGCTGAATTAGAACTCATGGGGCAGCCCAAAAACCCATTCGGTAACTTTGGCCCAAGCGCAGTTCCTGCAGCCTGACCTACGTCACAGCACGGTTGGGAGGAAGGACACAGCCATGTCCGTTGTCTTGAGCTGACAAAACAAACAAGCTTGATCTGGAAAGCCATGGAGGTCTAGAACACTCGTCTCCAACCTTGTGCCTCCAGATGTTCTTGGACTACAATTCCCAGAAGCCTTCACCACCACCTCTGCTGGCCAGGATTTCTGGGAGTTGAAGTCCAAGAATATCTGGAGGCCCAAGGTTGGGGGCCACTGGTCTAGAAGCTCCCAGCCACCTTTCCTTCCATCGTCTTCAAGATCAAGGACGTGACCTTGGAGTTTCCTCCAAGAAACATGATCCATCTTCTTTGGGACAGTTCCTTTCTGCCTTTCACTATATAGCTCAATCTACGCCTTCCATATTTTTGCAACCGGGATCCTGAATTTGTTTAGCTTCTTGTCCTTTCATGAACTTGGAGTGATCTACAAACACTGGGTTTCTGCTTTTATTTTTCAAAAGCTTTCCCCCCACAGAGTTGGCTTACATTGTCTTTGAGGTTTGCGTTTTGTTCCTTCTCTGAAGCTCATGCATAACAGTGGGTTTTTTCCTCCCGGTTTGTACAGCCTTTAAAAAACAAAATTCCGTGTGTTTACTCCAGCACCTGGTACACTCCATTTAAATGAAAACACACTTCCTTTTCAAGATGGTTTAAGCGGTGCAGTTTCTGAAATCAGCTATTAAAGGCGTAGACGCTTTCCCATTGTTCTGAAATCTGACAGGTGTGACGCCTTGAAGGAAAAGCAGAAAATGGGCAAACTTTGTATTAATTTGTTGAAAAACACAGATGTTACAGGTGGCAGGAAAGCGCTTGGTTCTCCTGCTGAAACCACCGGGAAACAAAAGAAGTGCCATTTTGTGCCAAACCAGCTGCGCCCGAAGAAATAAAGCAACTAACAATTCTGAAACAACATGGATTTTAAGACTGAAAGGAAATATATGCCACAGTACACACAAGATTTTTTTCCCTCTGTGGAGGCCCAGTGGGGGGAATCGAACTCACAACCTCTGACTCCACAGCCAGAGACCTAAACCACTGAG